TCATCTATTTTTTTGTGTATTTTGTATTTGCTGCTTATTTGTGATTGTGTTTTAGAGAATTTAAAGTTATTATTCATACTCCCATATGCTCATGTGTGGAACTGTACAGTATCACAAAAAACTTTAAGGAACAAAATAAGCAATATGCAAAAAATCTGTTCCTTCAGCAAAACACGTAGGGTACTGAAACAACATCATGATGTCTAATAATGTGCACTTGGCAAGTCAATATTTAAATTTACAGCTCTTCAGGCTCAAGAAGCATGGATTTATTGAGGGTACCTCTAACTCCTGGTATCAGCAGGTGGTGTGTTTCCACATCGTGTATCTCTAGCTAAACAAGAGTGATGAACAACTGTGGCAGCCTGGGAGTTTTTGCTTTCCATACAACATGTAGAAAAGTTTCAGTATCTAATCCTGAAGGACCATGATACACCAGATTTCCAGGGTATGGTAATTTTAGATGTTGAAATCCTGTTTCGAGTATTTTTTCTTTTCTTACTTTCCTTTGTACTCTGGATTCTGGCTAATTTTAGCTAGTAAAGAGATGAAGCATGGGTGGGACAGTTTGATACAGAATCAGCTGTTTGAACCTCACCAGAGATGCGGACCTCTCAAATGGGTCCAGTCAGGTGAACTTGTACTGAGTCTGCAGCCTGTACAAATCCTATTGTTTTCGTATATAAACTTATGTGATAAAACCAAACTTGAAAGAGTTTAAGACTAGAGATAAGGCTTCGGAAGTTTAGTACAATATGAAAATTGCCTACTCATATGCATAATGATATATTCTTGATCACACATAGTTCTGTCATTTTGGGTTGTCTTCTTCCTGGGATCTCTGCCTTGTTGTGTACAGAAGGAATAGTGCTTATCTAATGAACAGCTTTTTTTTTCTTTCCTTTCTTCCCCCTTACCATTTTTCATTGTGTAACCCTGTGCCTTACTATATACCATTCAGATCAGGATTTGAGGATGAAGTTGTTATTTTCCTCTTTGACATTTCTGTAGGACTCATCACTACAGTATTTCAGTGCTTCAGATGTTAATTGATTTTCATAACACCCTACTGAGATGGACAATTATTATTATCCAGGGAAATAGAGCACAAGGAGATTGAGGTCAGAAGTACTGCTCAGTTTGAATGCCAGGTTTGAGACACCTGTGACCCGTTTTAGTATTTTTTTAGTATTCACATAAAACTCTTGAATTCCTTTAATTGCAACTTGTAAGTAATTCTGCATTTCTCCATATTGAGTCAACAGCTGTAATACAGGCAGCTGTATAGTAAGGCAAACTCAGGTGACCACTCACGGAATTTCTTTGCGGAAGTGATATGCCTGGTTTCATGTAAGTAATTTTGGGCACAAGTGATGAAAGGATCTGAGTCTTAACACAGCATTGAAATGTTATGCCCCAAGAGATTTTTCTTTCTTAATACATTCTTCTGGCTCATCCCATACTTATCCTCCAGTTCTTTCAATAAAGGAAGCAAGGCCCTACCTACAGGAGTCTCTTCTACTCCCTAACTGTAATTCACCACCAGAATGGGTACACTCTTAACAAAATGAGTAGAGGTCCTTTTTGGAGCATGTGTCAAATGTTCTTATTTAAAAAATAATTCCTGATGTACATGCATAAAGATTGCCCTATATTTCTTAATTTTGAGTGTACCCTTAATTTTCTTTTAACATTTATTTAATATAAACAGTTTTCTGTTCTCTAATGTATTTTTATGTTAGTCTGCCTTCTGGCATCAAATGTCCATCTTCAGCAGCATCTTAATAGTTCAAAATGGCAGCAATGTCAAGGAGTTAGTATTCCAGTACAGTTGCTTCACATTTGCAGAAGTTTAGCTATTTTAAAAGTGATACGCCTCAAAGTAGAGAGCTTGTTCAGTAGGATGTCAGCTGTCATACGGCTGACATATGAAGATAATTCCTTTCCTCAGTAGAATATTGTTTCTCTGAGCTGGCAGCACAGAAATGATTATTAGAAGTGAGAAAGATCATTAAAACTCTGAATGCTTTGATAGCCATCTCACCTTAGCTTTTTTTCATAAGAAATTAACTAATCATGACTTTCAGAAGAATAAAAATCCTCTGAAAACCTGAATTAAGATAACTGTAAACTCATCTGCTGTGGTACTCTTGAGAACAGTGCTATCAACAAATTCTATCTGGAAGAAGGTGGAAACTTAGCCAAAATAGTTTTTACATATTTTAAGAATTAATTCTACACTGATCTTCACTCCAGACTTATTTCTTGTTACTTTTAGATTATGGGTTTATCATATTTCAGATGGATGTTGTCTTTTGAGGAGGACTTGATTCTCCTGTCTTTCAGCTTAAATTGTGTTTTGCGTCCATATAATTGCTTTCCACTAGTTTTTTAGAAGCATCTGTTGTTAATAATGCTGAATGAAGACTCTGCTTCAGGCTCCTTTTAACTCAGTAAAAGTCAATTTGCATTTGGGCCTTTACACAAATACTTTTTGGTCCTACCTTGGACATCTACCTTGTCAACTTCTATGTGCTCAATTACATGTTGGCCTCTCAGTTCAAGAAAAGACAGAAATAGAGGGAAGTCAAACACAATCTTCCTGCTTGACAGAAAAGTGATTTATGTGCTGGACATGGTGGCCTTCCCGTAACTTTCTTTAAAACGCCTGAATCTTTTAAAATTTGTGCTGAAGAATTAATGTGACAGATTTTTATAGTGGACTCTGTAACTGTGCTGTAATGGTAGATCTTAAATGCCGTTTAAGGCATTTCCTCACAATGTAACTAAATGGTCAGATCAATCTGGGAGGAAGACTGCAATTATTTAGCCTCTCTTGTGTTTGAAAGGCATGTAAATGAAAATACTCATTAAAGAAGTCTGATTAGAGACTGCTTATTATTAAATTTTTATTGTTATTTTGTCGTTTGTTGCATGTGAATTAGCCTGTGGTTAGTTTTGGTCACTAATAGTTGTGTGATGCTTACATATTCTGAAAAGCATGACGGCAACCTGGTGAAAGCACAAAAGTGTTTATTTTCTGCAGCAGTACCAGTTAGTGTAATAAAAACATCACCTCTTTTTGTAAGCTTTCCTTTTCTTAGCACATAACAATATGCCTGGTATTTTACAAAATACAGATTGTGTTATTGTCTTGTACTAAAGATGTTACTGTCAAGCAAAGGGAAAGCAACAGTTGAGATCACTGAAAACTGGGACATCATAAATGGATAAATTAATGATGGCAGAGATTCGGAGATTTGAGAGAGAAGGAAGAGGAAGACTTCCAGGTGCAAGAACTGGAAAACTGTGCTAAGTGCAAAGAGGGTTGTGGAGGAAAGGTGAAACCGTAGTTTAATGTAGAGGGTTGAGGGAACCAAGGGAAGTGAGAAGACAGATGAGAATAGAAGAAAGATAGATTAAAAAAAACCCACAATTTTTTTTTTTTTTTTTACTTATCTGTGATACTCAACTGAATGCTGTTAGAAAACATTTGTATTTAAAGTGACATTTGTGCTTGTTGTGGCTATAGCTATTTTCTTCGCTGCCATTGAGGTGAATGGAGAAATACAATGATGGGTTTTCATCTCTGGGGTAGCCTGATATAGCCCGGGGTGATGCCTTTGTGTGTATTGGTTTTGGATGGGCCCAAAAGGAAACCATAGTTGGGAATTGCTGTGGACTTCTGTCTAAGCTCCCAAAGGCAGCTGCATTACAGTATGGCATAGTCTCACCATAACTGCCTTATGGGATTCGGAAACTACCTAAATTCAGGAGACTACCTGGTTGCTGACTCGAGTAAAGAAGGTTTTTTATGGAGAGTCCTGGATTATAAACTGCAATCTGAGGGTTTAGAAGTTTTCTATAGCAGAGATATTTTGTTTTCAAGGTAGAAGTATTTATAAAGGATTTATTTTCTAAGTCGCAGGTGAGGATTCTCTTGGTTTTTCCTTTAGGATTACAAAGGTAATAGAGAAAAGCACCATTTGGTATTTACCACTGTAAAGATACTATCTCACACTGAGGGTAACCGGAACCTGAAGATAATTGATTAACTGTTGTTGTTCCAGCTTTGACATTCTGATACCACTTTCTTGTACACACACAGTGGTATTTCTCATGTCTGATTGCAAGGATTTCCATCTTTTTATAAAAATGCAGTATCGTTAGCAATTGCTTCTTCATCTACAGAGCTAGGTATGTCTATGGAACAACTCAATTGCCTAAACGTGGGCATTTGGTGTCATTTTAGCTGTCTTTGGATATGCAGATCATCCACATGCAGCTTGCAGAGATGATGCAGCACTTACAACAGACTTGTATCCTTCTGCAGTAGCAGCTGCTTACCAGGCAAGATATCTTCAGGCTCCTAAAATGGCATTTGATGCCAGTGTTTAGGCTTCTGAACTCATCCCTAGTTGCTGGTCAATGTAAAAATGTAATTGAATTGGAGATGGTAGTGGGGAAAGATATGGGATTTATCTGAGAGTATAACATTTTCTGGCACTTGTTCTGGTTTTGTTCTTTTAAAGACCACTTAATGGTAAACTTTGAACATTTCTAAGTAATAGTTCTAATTTGTAATTAACATTGTTTCTATGGGAGGTTGATATACATTTTAAATTAATACCTCTGAGCTTGTGAGAGAGAGACAGTCTAATTTTTTTTTTTTTACTCCAAGAGAAACACAGTAAGCATATGTTCTGTGATAAAAATGCACCAACAATTAAATAAGTAGTCATTTCCTGTGTTAAAGTTGAACTGTAAGCCTGAAGGACAGAAAACATGCCACGTTGCTCTTGTTAAACTGTCAAATTATTACTGCATATGCAACTGGAGGATTTTCAGTTTCTTCTCAAAGCATTTTTAGAGGATGAATCAGTAAAGCAGTTATCTAATGTATCCATGTTGACTGCACATAGAATTTTATATTCTGTTATGTTTAATTACACTGTTACCAGGCTAATACTTCAGGATTTTTCTCTTTTTTTTTTTTACAGGATTCTGCTCAGGAGAGTGTCATTACACGAGATATTCATCGTACGTTTCCAGCACATGATTATTTCAAAGATACAGAAGGAGACGGTCAGGAATCTCTATACAAAATCTGTAAGGTACAGTCAGTACTCTGCATTTTAAAGTGTGTTCCATATTTTGCTATGGCTGTATTTTGCCCTGCTAACCCTATTCTGATCCAAGTCACTAATCAATAAGACTTTAAAGCTTTATTTAGATTGCATGTGGAGAGTGTAGTGTTTGTGCAGTACTGGATATCCTGAAGTACTTTTTATAACCTTGTATTTCATATGTCCTAAGATGCATATGAGAAGAGCAAGGCTCAAGCTAGCTAATGGGCAGTTTGGTATCAGAGATTCACTTCAGTAGAAGTGTGGTGTAGCAGACCTTTTTTTGCTCTGGTGGTAGAGAGGTTTGCAGAGGAAGGGAAAGCCTCAGAGCAAGCTCTGCTATGAGGTTAAGCAAGAATAATGTCTCTAGACAGTTATCTAGAGAACAAGTTAGTTGACCTTTCCACAAGCAATGTGTATGCATAGCTTTTCAGTCATAGCTCTCAGGTTACCTCTGATCAAAGAAAAATCTAATTTTTTCCAATTTGCACGTGGGGAAGTTGAGGTACTAAATGAGCAGAATTGTCCAGCTTGTGCAGACAGACTTCTGTTGCTTAGAAGAGATACAGAAGGTAGAATATTGCAGCTAGATTGGGAGCTCTCTGGCTGTCAGAACACATTTTATTGTGTTTCTAGCAGGCAGGTTTTGCTTTAATTTTTTTTCTACATGTAGAATAAATAATTGCCTTAGACAAAGCCATTTCCACTTCCTTTCCTTTTCCTTGTTAGTCTGTTTCCACCTCCAGTTGATTAATAGACAGAAATGATGGAGTTGTCATAACAAGCAGAAAAGAGTGTCCTGCCTTTGGGGTGTAATGATACATATTCCTGTTCTCCAGATAAATTCTGTGGTGCTGCAGACACCTATTCAAACAATAATTTGGACGACGGTTAAATATAGCTGCTTAGGTTACATATATTGAAGTTCATTGTCATGAGTAATTCACATTAAAAAAGGTTTAAAAAAAAGGAGCAGAGAGAACTTTGAACCAATTATATTGATTTCTCACTAATCTTGGAGGGCTCTAGATGGCTACAAGAAAATTGCTTCTGTGCCAATCTTTGAAAAGAATAGCTAGGACAATGCAGGTAATTGTGGGCTTGTCAGTTTGATATCAGTTAAGTGAAAAATTATAGAATAGCATTCAGGTTACCAAGAATTAAATGTGAGAAGTATATTATAATGAATGCCTATGAGTTTACTGAAAATAGATCTTGACAAGATAATAAAAAAAAATACAGGTTTCATTGGTGAAGGTAATTTTATCAGAATTCTGTAGATCATGTAGTCTGCCATGCAAAAAAAAGTATAAATGCTGGACAAGTTAGAATATGAACAAGATACACATTAAAGAATTAAAAACTGGCTAGCTAGCAGGTTACTAAACATCAGCACTGAAGAAATATATTTCAAACAAGGTGCCATGACAGTCACTTGGTTCTGTCAATGTACTCTGGTTAGTCACTTAAAAGAAAACAAAAATAATTTCTGGTAAAGATATCTTAATGACACAGAGAAAAAGGGAATGGTAAATAATGAGGTGTTAAAGAATGTATGGATAGATAAATTGTGTGTAGGAATAGAATGACTTGAGTAACTCAGTATTTTACAGCTGCTGCAGCTGCTTTTGATTACTATGTCTGTGTCATGGTTTAACCCCAGCCAGCAACTAAGACACAGCTGCTCACTCACTCCCCCCACAATGGGATGGGAGAGAGAATCAGAAGAGTAAAAGTGAAAAAATTCATGGGTTGAGATAAAGACAGTTTAATAGGGAAAGTAAAAGCTGTGCATGCAGGTGAAGCAAAACAAGGAATTCATTCACTGCTTTCCATCGGCAGGCAGGTGTTCCACCATCTCCAGGAAAGCAGGGCTCCATCACACATTACTTGGGAAGACAAAATGCCATCATTCCGAATGTCTCCCCTTCCTTCTTCCCCCTGCTTTGTATGCTGAGCATGACATCATACGGTCTGGAATATCCCTTTGATCAGTTGGGGTCAGCTGTCCCAGCTGTGTCCCCTCCCAACTTCTTGTGCATCCCCAGCCTCCTTGCTGGAGGGGTGGTGTGAGGAGCAGAAAAGGCCTTGATTCCGTGTAAGCACTGCTCAGCAATAGCTAAAATATCCCTGTGTTATCAGCACTGCTTCCAGCACAAATCCAAGACATAGCCCCATACTAGTTAGTATGAAGAACATTAACTCTATCCCAGCCAAAACCAGCACAGTCCAGAATTAAAGACGACTATTCTACATTGGAAAGAACCTGTAGAAGTTTCATGAGGATGATAAAGGTATTTGGGAACATACTTTGGAAAGAAAAACTTTTTCATGAATGAGTATCTCAGTCTGTTTTGTTTAATAAAGAGAAAATCAAGGAATTAATCTGTCTGAACTAGAAGTAACTTAGAAGAATGTCTAGCAGGCAGCTTCACAGAGGCACAAATCTAAGACCTTCCCAGGTTTTCTGTGGTAAAAGCGAAGAATTCTACTTGTCTTCCAAAGTTGGGAGCCTTCCCTGCTCTCAGGGCCTCTACTGCTCCTGCAGAGAAAGTTGCTGCAGATGTTGGTCCTCGTTTTTTGAAGTATCTAGATCTGAGGCCTGTCAGCATGTACTTCAAGTTGAGGACTGCTTTTCCTGTGAAGCATTTTGTATTTATCTACCTCTGCCACTTTGCCCCTTTCTCTTGATGTGAACATGTTCTGCACAGCTTCTTTGCAGTCAGCTTTTAATTTACTGCTCCAAACAGCTTTGTCTCATCAGCAGTCTTTGTTACTGTGCTATTTTTATGTGTTCTGTATGCTTTGTGAATATCTTCAACAGCATCAGCCCTAGCATGCATTTCTGTGAGGTTCTGTGAGTGAGAACTGACTGTTTATTCCCACCTTTTGCTTTCTGTCCTTTAATCAATTATTTGAGTATGTAAGAGAACCTTCTTACACAGCTTAGTCCCCTAAAACCCTTTGGGAAGGGATCTTGTTAAATGTTTTCTGAAAATTCTAGTAGATTCTTGTTGACTGCCTCATTCTTTCATGTGCTCATTGGTTCAAAGAAGAATTTGGGAAGCATTGCTTCCTGGTAGAACAGCCACATCCAATCTTCAACATTGAATTATTCATAAGTTTACTGATTTTATTCTTGACAGTTTCTACCTACTTGCCAGTACAGAGATCAGACGCAACTCCTGTGTAATTTCTAGGCAGCTCCTTTTCCTTCACCCCTGCACTGTTTTCTTAAACGGCTATGGCTCTGTTCTACAGATGACCTGTCTGTGGCCAGGTCCAACTGGACCTTGAGTTTATGATTGACATGGTGAGTTTTAGAGAAATATGTTAAAAGCTAATTAACTTGCTTTTAAACTTGTCATTCCATAACAAAAATATAAAAATCAGTAGTGAGAGTAATATTGGGGTTGTTTTATATTACTAGTATAACTTTCAACAGAGGTGCTGTGCACTCATGTCCTTCTTCTAATATGAAAGCAAGATATTTGAAGAATGGGATTATTGAATAAGGCTAGAAAAGGTCTGTCCTCAAGTGGGAGGGTAAAAAGCTGAAGAGCATTTTCTTCATGCCCCACTGAAATGAGAGATGATCTGAGCTGTCAGATAAAAAGGAAAACCATTAAAAGCTCAGTGCCTCATTTTAACAGGTCTGTCAGTTTTAGTTCCGTCTCTTAATCTCTTCTTCAGAACAGTAGGAAATCAGGAAAGATGGAAACTTTTTCAGTTGCAGAACATTTATGTGACAAAGTTTCTAAAAATAAACTTTAAGGCTGACAAGGGTGATAAGGAATGAAAAGAGTTCCAGATTCTAGATTGGAGATTTCACTTGAGGACATTGCATAAGCTAGATTTGCACAGAGCAAACATCTTTGGGAAAATAGTTCTGTTTCTTGCATGCTTTCTGTTTAAATACTCTGTGAATTCTAGCTCTATTTAAAGAGCTCATTCTCTGTGTTACAATGCATAACAGAATAGTACTCGCGACCTACTTCCATGTGTGCCTATGTAGTTAACAGCTCGATGCTCGAGGGAATCAAACCACTTGGCAGAAATAGTCCTTTCAACTGTTTGGAGTGTATGCAGTGCAGAATTTAATGTGAGCTGTGTTTTCTCTAATTTTCTGATTGAAGTAACTCCTATTCAACAAACAAGCACTGTGACTTTAATAGGAGAATGGGAGTATGTTGCAGGGAGATCAATCAGGTTAGCTAGGTGAGTATTCTTACTGGGCAAACTGGAAAAATAGACACGAGGCTTCCCTGCTTTTCTGAAAATGGTTGAATTACTTTTCAGAGATTCGAAGTCAGTGTTAAGAGTTTTCCAGTAAACAAGGGCATTATGGAAGGATATGAATCACGTGTATCATGACATATTTTGTTACTACATACTTATCTCCTTAGTTGATCAAATTTGTAGTTTTTTACTAATCCTAGGCATACTTGCCTGAAGGTTTTATGTGCAGGATCAGTGTGACAGCTGGTTTACTCTGAAATGAAACACTCCATTTTAGTCGTCATTCCAATGTCTGTTTGTTGGTACCCACGTTAGTAGAGGGAATAATAAAGGCTTTTTCTAGCAAAGCTAATACTGAATGGGGTCCATTGGCTTTCTTTGCTGTATAATTGAAATATGAAAATGTCTTTGAATTGCTTGTCTGTGACCAGTAGCTTCTATACCATAGAATCATGGAATCCTAGAACTGTTCAGGTTGGATAAGCTGCGAACAATGGATTACTCTTTGGTTCATCCTTCAGTATGGCAGAACTGCTGCTTAGCGCTGTCCTGTAAACTGATTGTCTAACTTTCAACCTTTTTTTACATTTTCATTTCCATTTCATTGCAGCATCTTTTTTCAGATGATCACCTCTTCTTGGCATGCACATATTCTTCCACATTTTTCAATCCTTAGTATCTCCTCAGATGTACAAATGGGAAGCTTCAGCATTTGTCCACTTTGGTTTAATTACTTGTCAGAGAGCAGA